CATTCCACTCTACATTCCACATACTACAGTTATTTTATTCAGCTGCCTTTTTTTCTCAGAAATTGCCAAGGTCAATATTTGTTTTATTTAGGATTTCAATTGGCAACCAATTTGGACCCAGCCTCGCCTGCCTCGCCTGCCTCCTCTGTCCAACACAAATCCTTCAGTAATCGTCCTTTAATTTCCTTCAATACTCTGGTGTGTATTTTAGTTCGAGTTGGTTAGAAAAACGTAATTCATTACACAGATTTCATTACGCGGATCAGCTGCCAAGCACTCGAGATGCTCAGCTCTATTAATGTGGCACAGATGCTGCTTTACAAATGCTTGGATCAAAGATGCGGCTCTGCTCGCCGAAAGTTGAAAGTTCATTAGTAAGCCATAAAGCAGACTATAAATTCATGCATGTAGAGCATATGTGCAGCACACATTGAGAGCCATAGGCACACGCACAGTGAATGGCTCATTATCAACACCCACGCAGCTGGCAGCGAACCTGCTCAGAAACAACAACAAGAATAACAACAACAGCAACAACAACAACAGCAGCGGAGACTAAGGATGTGGCCGCATGGGCGTTCGCAGCAGCCAGTTCAAGTGGTTTTTCCTATGAGACTTTGGAGTGTCTATACTGGTGGGTGTGTGTGTGTGTGTGTGTGTGTGGGCGTGGGCGTGTGTGGCATATCTTTAGGCGCCATCCAACCGCATATCTACATTTAAATTATGCAAGTTGTTGTCTAGGCCGCGCCGTCTATTCCTCACATTCTGCGAGCCTGTTTAGTCGACTGTTTGTCTGTCTCTCTGTTTGTCTGTCTCTCTCTCTCTCTCTCTCTCTCTCTCTGTCTCTCTGTCTGTCTGTTTGTTTGCCCTGCCGCCAACGTCTTTGACCCAGAAGCACACATTTCGGCGCTTTTATCCTCTGCTTACATATACATATGTGTCCCTTTCCACTACCCCACTCTCTCTCTCTCACTCAATCTCCCTCTCTTTCTCTCTGTGTGTGTGTGTGTGTAGTGCATAGCAAAGTTTTTGGGCCAGGTCTCATGGTCTGTGTATTTGCACACGTTTTACAGCCTGCAGCAATTTGGATATATGTATATATATTCATGCATACATACATACATACATACATTCACTCGCATACCTATATGTATGTATATGCCATGCTTTTTATTTGTGCCTGCTGCTGTTTATTTGTTTAAATTTAACGCATCTCTGCCCGCCCTATCATCTGCCCTCTCCGCAGCTGCGTTCGTAACATGTTTGTTATTCGGTTTTTTGTGTTGTGTCGCTTCTATTTCTATTTCTATTTCTAATTCCATCTAATTCTTTTTTGGGCCGTGCATAAAGCTGGATATATTTTTTGTTGTTGCCATCCCAACAAATTATGCTCCGAAATGTATACAAAAAATGTAGGTAGGTTTAGGCACTTTCTGTATTAAATTTCTTGATTATTTTGTTTGCCTATGGATTCAATGGGTAAATCTGTGCACAGAAATAATTAGGGAAAATGAAATCAATGCTTAGACTTGATTAACTTAGCATTTGTTTTAGATCTCGCTCAAATTTTAATTGGAATGAACTTTGCTTACAAATTTCGCTTTCAGCTTTATTTTTTAGAGTCATTAGATCTGCATCTAGTCACCATAAAATTTTGTAGATATCGTGACTAGTGATTGCGCTTATTTAATTTTTCTCTTAGAATGTGCTTTAGTTTCGCTTCATTTGTTTTCATCATCCACGAAATCATTTAGCACAGCCAGCGTTGCTGAAATTTTCTTTTTATTTATATTTCGTTTATTTCGCGCTACGTTTTCAATTTTCATTCACAGTTGTTGCTCTCTCCCGTCAGCAACGAATGCTCTGGCCAAGTTATTCCAATTTATTTTTGTATTTTTTTCTTTCTTTTCTTTTGCGTTGCTTTTTTTTTTTTTTTTGTTAATTTTTTGTTTATTTTTTATTTATTTCTGGGACGGACGTTGTCTAACCGGTGGGCTACGTTGCGTGAAATCGCATCAGTTGTACAAACTTTAGGCGCGTTATTTAATTTGCCATTGAGGCAGTGCGCTCCATTTATTCAGCCCACGTCCATGTCGAGGTCCTTGTGCGTATCCAGCTGGACCGAGCGTGAGCGGTGAAAAGGTTCGTTCGGCATTTGGCTATTGTCAGTGGTAGAGGTTTTTTGCATGCCCAACAATTGTGCAGCTTATATTTAGGCATGATCAAATTTAATTACAGCAAGCGCTACGCAACGAAACGCTCAAAGAAAAATTACTTGGAAAATTAGCAGCGTGGCGCAGCAGGGAAAAATCAATGTGACCTTGGCTAGCTCAAGTCAATCAGAGGCTCTGAGGCAGCTCGACTCATTGAACATGACCCAGTTCGATACTTGCTAAATAATTGATCAGTTGTGCGAGCGGAACAGCAATTCAGACCAAAGTCATTTAGCTGCCCTCGTCGACCTTTGGCCTATCTATTTGCTAATAGTGTTTGCTCTTTAAGCAACAGCTTAAATTCCTTAAAGTATTTTCGGTCCGCCCCTAATTGGCCGGCTCGTGGCAGAGGCCAGGTAATAATGTAATTTGAGGCCAATCTCAATTCGCACAGCGAAATATTTGTAGATTAGCTTTTGCTGTTGGCATTCGAACGAATTAGAGGAGAATAACGGCAATGATTTAATTCGGTTTGCGTGAATCGCGAGCAAATCCTTGAAATTCTTTGAATGGAATGCTGAATATGAAATGTGGACTTCAACATTTAATTAATATACAAAACTTGTAAAGTTCTCAGCTACAACTAAGGTCATTAGAGCCCGGGCCTTGAGCATTTATTAGTTGAATTATGCAACTAAAGTACGTGAAACTTTTTCCGCTCGGTCCGCACTTGGGCAATCCCAACATAATTTAGTTTAATAATTTGACTTTATATATGTATAGTGCATATGAGTTTATTAAAGTTGTTTATACAAACAACCCACAGCAGCTTACACTTTAATGATATTTAAATTTTGCTTGCCAAAAAAACTTTTCACATTTGGCGAGAGCAAACTGTGCGCCAAGGCAAATTGCTTGTTTAGTTATTAAGTTAGCTGTATATACTATGTATGTATGTATGCACATTTACTCCCATTCGAGGTCCGAGAGTGGCGAGAACTTAAAGCGGATCATAAGTGTCGTGAATGTGGCTCAAATATTTAACGAGCGTTTCTGGTTGCCTTATTAGGGCAATTCTTTCGCTTACGCTTGCCTCTGCCTCTGCCTCGTTCATTGCTCATACGCCGCGTGGGCGTTGGGCGTTGGGCCGCGCCAATAAAGGGCAGACGGCCGTAACAGTCTGATTCATAATTACATACTTATTCCCATTTAATGGGCACATCTCAGTTAGTGCTTTTGCGGCTGTACTTTGGCCTGCGCTTTGTGGAGCGCCCTTGTGTATCTCTCGGCTGCTCTCGGCTGGGGCGTGTCAATTGAATTGCCTTGCATTGAAAGTTCTTCAAAGCTATATTGAATTCATAAAACTTAAATCAGCTTATAGTATTTGATTGATTGTTCAATCAAAATAGTTTTATTACTTGGCTGAAATAAAAAATCTTTTTTATTGCCGGGGGCAAAACTTTTCGAAACAAAGTTAACTATTTTAAGTTCTGCAAACGTATTAATAAAGCTGTATATATACATATATTTTACCTTCAGTAAACTCAACAGAATTTTTTAGAGTTATTTTTATATACGCTCTATTCTCATTCGCCCAGTCTCAGTTGTTAATGATTGGCTATCATGACGTTATTGATGAACAGAGTGCGCCGGCTATTAGCCAAAATCACGTGCGGGAGTGGGCGCAAACTTATTTCGATATACATGAATTACTTATGCTTTAACATGTTTAGCTAAAAGTTGTGTGCCGCAATAAAGTAGTCGGAGCCACTAAAGTTCAGGCTCGTAAATTAAGCGAATGTTGGCAAATTGTTATCGCAGCATTTGACACATGTGAAACTAACCGAATCTCGTACATAATTAATGCCCTGGCCGGGAAATTGGCCAGAGTTCAAGGTTGCCTGAGATGGCAATAAACCGAACCGAACTTAATATGGCTCATACGTGTGCCGAGCGGAGCGTGAAGGGGGTGCCATTGGGTGCACAGTGCGAAATGAGTTGTAGAGTTTTGCATATGTTGATTCAAATTCAAAAGCGTGTACAATTTCAGTGTGAGAGCTAAATATGATGATGGACAAGAAAAAAAATTAAGTAAAAAAAAAAAACTGAAAATAAAGGGAAAGCAAAGGAAAGGAAAGGAAAGCCTTTTATTCGCTAACGCGAACGCACACGCACACGCAGACGTGCGCGCACACAATGACAGTGGCAAACGAGAAGCAAGAAACAACTTTTTGTATAGCATACTTTTTAGCGAAATTATTTACATACAAATGTTGATGATGTTGATGAAAGTGGAAAGACGACAACGGCAGCAGAGGCAACAGAGGCAACGGAAAGAAAACTCAGGGACGCGCAGACTAACAGACGCGCCCAAACAAGGACGTCGTCACGCCGTCGGGCTTGCGAGGGATCCGCACGCGGGGCACTTGAAACTATTGCGAGGGCGTCTAAAATGCCTTTGCTGCTAGTTTTCTGTTGCGAATACTTTTTCGACATCGTTCTCTTGCCGCAAGGGGCGTGGCACAGCTTGAGTCAGTGCCTTTCTGTCTCTAACTGTCTGTCGGTCGGTCTGTCCGTCTGTCTGTCTGCGCGTCAGCTGCGCTTTGCGTGTGTGCATTGAACAAATTTTTGAGCGAGCAAATTTTCACTTGTTACCATTTGATTAAGTGAAGTGTGTGCGCCACTCCCACCCACAGACACAGACTGTATTTTCCCACACAATTCAAATAAAATTACAAGAGACAGACATTTGCGCTAGCATCTTGTTATGATCTTGGCTATAATAGAACTGTAATTTCTGATATTATAGTAGACTGGGACCTTAGCCTTGACACCTTTTGAAAAAATAAGAAGATAAAAATTCAGTCTGTTTTGTATTGCATTTTGGGTCTGTTGTAATAAACCAAATTAGCTTAGAATGTCCACCACTATCTGCGCCCTGACGCAGAGCCTTCTGCAGCAACGGATTTGCATGTCCACCACGCGCTGTTCCTCAATGGGCAAGTTTCAGCCCTTCACTCGGGTGGAGCGCCTGAAGCCCTCGGAGGAGAGCAATCTGCAGATGGCCTTTGATCTGGACTCCGATCCCAAGAAGGTCAACCTAGCCGGGGAGATCTATCGCAACAGTGACGGCAAGCTCCACATTCACAATGCGGTGCGCAGGGCTGAGATCGGTGTGGCCTGCGACGACTCGTACACCCACGAGCCCTACCCACCGCTGGGCAATCCGGATTTCACTCGAGCTGCCAATGAGCTGGTCCTGAACAAGGCGGCGCCTGCTATGCTGCAGAATCGTGTAAGCCATTAACATCAAATAATTGGCCCAATTTCTCCGGCAGCAGACACTATGTGGGGCAAAAGTTGTTGGCAGTTTTTTCTCTAAATGTGCATCGCTTAGGAAGCTCAGTTTTAGGTGAAAATGTGTCAATATAACTCAAAGGCAATGTGGGGGAAAGCAAAAGGTACAGAAAAACAGAAACACTGATAAGACCGAATAGTAAGAGGTAGAAAGTAAACATGGAATAGAAGCAAAGGCTCGGGTAGATACACAGTCGGAGCTTTCACAGACCTGCTGGGGAGTTACCAAATGGAGCATCACTGTTAATCCTGCTCATTATCTTGCTTTTCAACACAGGTGCTCGGCATCCAGACAGGCTCTAGCATTGATGCATTGTGCCTGGCCGCACAGTTTCTGCGTGAGAGGATGCGGTGCACCGTTTGCATGCTGGCCCGCCCCAGCTGTGACCAGTGGGTGCACATATTCAAGAGTGCCGGCTTCAACTGCCAGAGCTACCAGTACTACAGCGAGGAGAAGGGCGAGCTGAATATCTATGGGCTGGTCGCCGACCTCATGACTGCACCGGAGGGTGCCGTGGTGGTGCTGGATACGTGCGCACATAATCCCACTGGCCTGGATCCGACCGTCGATGAGTGGAAGCTGATTGCCCACATTATTAGGTGCAAGAAACTGTTGCCGCTCTTCCACTTGGAGTCACACGGACTCGTCAGTGGCGATACTGTGCAGGACTCCTGGCCAGTGCGTTACTTTGTCGACAGTGGCTTTGATTTGCTGTGCGCTCAGTCGTTTGTCAAGAATTTCGGTCTCTACAGTAAGTGTGAAAGGGGGCGGAAAAGGGGCGGAAAGGGGGCGCTTGGAGCCATGCACTCACTAAGTTGAATCATTTGTATGCAGATGAGACTGTGGGTCACTTAATGGTCGTGCTTAACAATTCCATTCAGCTGGATGTGGTGCGGGGACAGTTCGAGGACATGCTGCAGCGCAGCAGGGAGAAGTCCTTCTCGGCATTTGCCAGCCGCATTGTGGCCAAGATACTCAATAATGCATCATTGCGGCGTGATTGGTAAGACGAATGATTCAGATGTTTTCCAACTAGCCAACCACATGTCTTCCCTAACCAGGTCCGTCTCCCTCCAAGATGTGCACCAGCGAATGCAGCAAATGCGCCTGGCCTTGAGCAATAAGTTGACAGTCCTGAAGACGCCTGGCAAGTGGGATCACATCAAGAAGCAAACTGGCCCGCATCTCTACACAAATCTGAAGCCGAATCACCTGCGAAGGCTGCGCAGCAAGCATGTCTATGTGCCCGAGAACGGACGCATTAATCTGGGCGCATTATGTGCGGCAAATGTCGACGTGGTGGCCGGGGCCATACACGATGTGATGCTATCAGCGGAATCGGAGACAGACAAGATTTTCATACTGCCAGCGGCTGGAACGGGCTTGCTGTGCCAGAAGCCTGCCAAGATTGAAATTGTGCAGGCGATCCATAATGGAGTATAAAGATTCATTTATTATTACATTCCAATTAGGCCGAAACACAAAGCGTCATCTGACATGCCAGCATGCTAGGGGCAAACGCAGAAAAGTGGGACAAACAATAAATTTCACGATTCTCAGTTCAAAAGCGATAGTTTCGTTCTCCTTGGCAGCATGATGAGAAATGCACTTTGTAATTCTCATCATATGTCGCACATGTCGTCGCACAGCACTTATAAACGTCACATTAGAGTCACTTTCTACTGCAAGAGACATTACGTTATGTGTGTGTGTGTGTGTGTGTGTGTGTGTGTGCAAGGTATGAAAGGGGGAAAGGGGAAGGGCACAGCAGGGGACAGGGCTTTTGGCAAGAGCTCGTTAAACTAGAGTTTAAAGGTTTTGACATTAAGTGTACTTGCATTTGTGTGTGTGCGACGCGCGTATCCTGCTCTATGAACCTATGTGAGAGTCCTACATTTATGAGCTCAGATACGTGTAGAGACATTAACATGCACGCAGACACTTACCCCGAAAAGTTTTCTTTTCAAAATGAAAAACTATTTGAACTCACGAGGTCGCCAAGAGCGTAACTAAACTAAAATTGTTTAGGTTTTTATAAATAAACTACAAGTGCATGTCTTGTGCTTTCATATCTAGTTTCGAGCTATAAATGCACCATAAAATATTCATTGGGATTGGTGTGTGCGCAACAGATTTAGTTTACTGCGTTGCGTGCCGTGGGCAGTTGGGTCACCGAATTCATAATACCAAACCCATATCATATGCACATAAGTAGTTAGGGGCTTGACGTACAACTGTTGCGCCCCAAATTTATTTGCCCGGAATCGAACCCTTTTGTGGGCGCTCGCATTGCCCGATGGCGTATTTAACCGCATGGCCCATAAATCTCCAACTGAACCAGTTTCAGCCAGTCGAAAATAGAACGGAATACATTTTTTATACCGATTCGCGCATTTGCTATTATTTTCTGGCAAACGTCCCTTGAGATCTCTGGGGAATTCGCTTCAACCTAAACAGCAGTTGCTGGCATGCAATTTGTCAGCCCTGCGAGCAGCAGTCATTGCCAGGGTTAACCCACTGCCAGCGGTGGCGGTGGCCGTGGCAGTGCCTTAAAGCGCTCTAATGAATGCCATTGACGAACTCAACTGCCCTTTACAAATCCACATCGATTGGCGCAAAAACATTTCCCCCAAATTCCTTTTCAACGCTTTTCAATTCAATTCAATCGCTCTGATACTATCAAAACCAATAAAATTGGTGTGGGTCAAGTCTTATATATATATATATATGTGTGTACATATACTGTGTACATGTTCAAGTTGTATGTTTGACACAAATGTATTTTTGCTTTTGGCTTTCGTTTTTTTTTTTTTTTTCTTCAAGTGCGTGTGGTTTCATCATTGATTGAACATGTTAAGACGCCTCGAAGACATCAAATTTACACTTGAAGTGTCTCAAGCGACAACTGACCCAGTTTGGAACAGAGAACATGGGCGTACACCTATTCCATGTCCTCTTAACTTTTGCACTCAATTCACGAAGTGTAAAGTGAATTGAATTCCTACGGTTTGCCAACTGTAATTGAAACATTGAACTCTACACATTCCAGTGAATTTTTCTTTAAGAACCAATTTGTTAGTGAATTTTCAATAATATAATATATTTAATAAATTTAATTCTTTACATTAATATTATGTCAAGTCTTCACATTTGCAAAGTATTCACAAAGAAGACACATTAAATGGAATTAAAATGTATTTTCAATAAAATGGAAGATATGAGAAGTACGTGAATTTTCATGACGGTCCCTGGCGTATTTCTTGAAATTTTTATGCAGCTCCATTCACCTTTTGCCACACGCTACGTGTCTGGCGTCTGGTTTCTTTTATATTTCTGCACACAGTTTTGGTAATCGTTTCACCGCATTTTTGTGGTCTCACATGCATTGCTCAGCGCCTGCAGCCCCCAGCCCGGCAGAATCCGCAACGATCCGACCACAGCGACATGCCAATTGTGGCAAATGTTGCGGATTTCTGCAGATGAGGCAATACAGGGGAAACAAGCTTGAAAACATGTTTGAAAGCACTGCACAGATTGCCACACACAAAGTGTAGCAGCCAGAAGGCTGCACCTAAAATGAGTATTAAGTCGGCTACGAAATGAGCAGCGCATTCACAGCTTTAGAAAACACATTCTACATGAATACCTATTCAGCGAGCATACTGGGAGTGCCTTAAGAATATGTTTATCCGTTTAGAATATGCTGTTATTGTTCCGTGACACGTTTCAGCCTTTAGCGAGACCTTCGTCTAGCCCCAACACGGGCTCATCTTCATTGAGTTATTCGCGCTTTATGATTCCTTTGACTTTTCACGCCTCGCTTGATTACCCTCTATTTTTTTTATGCTCACATTTTATTTTTGCGCTTTTATTCTCGATATGTATATAAGTTTACGTCTTATTTTCCTTGACACCTAATTGGTCAATTGACGCTGCTTTTACTCGAGTAGTTACTGCCGATTCGCATCTAGTTTTACTGTCGATTTAATTTAAGATCTCATCTTTGAGTTGTACTAAAACTTCATCTTCTTTTTCGCCTTTATTGGGCTCTATGAATGAGTGATAAATCCGTTTGATAACCTCTAAAAACGTAAATCGTGACAGATGCTTGATGTAGGTGCAAGCTATATATTAGATTTATATGATTCCCAGACACATCAACAAAAGATGATATAATAAGGGGGTTTATAGCACTTGTTACTGCAAATCTTGTTAGTTTGTTAATGCTCCTTAAACAACAACTTCAGTTTTTACAGCGAAAGTCATTTAGTTTTCACTTCTCATATTGATTTTTGTTGTAAAGTCAAGAGAATCGCTCCTGCTTTAAGCTGGCAATGGCGAAAATCACTTTAAATTCGTTCCACTTTACACGGTCTTGCCCATTTTTAAGGGCACTTCACTTCACCTGGGCGTAATTTCAAAAAGGGAACAGGATGGGTGAATAAATTGCTTTCTGTCGCATAAAGCCATTACTCGGCACCCAGCAAAAAGGGCCACTGTAGGTATGAATTTTAATATGTGTGAATATTTATATATAAAATATTTCATAACTTGAGTGAGAGAGAATGAAAGGGCGACGTCAACGACAAACGAATCGGCCGAGGGCTTGGTATTTGTGATATTTTAGTTACGGGGGGGTTAAACAGCCCCGCCCATTGTTGACATATTTTCAAAGCTCAGCAAGCGTTAATCTAACGTAAATGTATTCTCTCTCTATACATATATACATATACAGATATCTTACACTTTTTGCTGCTATCAAGCTGTTCGAATTGATATCTAGTCTATTGTTGAGTTTAATAGCAGCTATGAATTAGAGTGGGTAACTAGAATGTAAAACCTTAATTTCCACTTGCAGCCATTGTTAATAGTCCATGATGGGCGCATAAAAAAGAAAACTTGCACAGCTTTAGTTGAAGCGCACTTACGCCGAAGTATCCCAATCCTTGCTATCCAGACAGGGCACGTGAGCTGTCGTTAGTCCATTAACCAAACAGCTATTGAGGTGATTGCGCACTTCGAACTCGTTGACACAGGCGACAGCGAGCTGAGTGTTAAATTTCACAACGACCAAGGGCTCATTAGCAACATCAGGAGTGGCTCTGGTCTGTAACTGAAGGCAGCTCAGGCAGCTCAGGCAGCTTAGGCAAACGCGGCACTTTCCTCGTTAAACCGAGCCAAGAACTGTGCTGGCCATAAATTCCCTCTTGCTAACAATAAGGATATTAGATGTCACTGTCGTCATGCCTTGTTTGTACGTTGCTTGGAGTCACTCTACAGTTCAGCAATGCAATTTCCATTGCAATGCATTTTCCTTCTCGATTTTCCCTACAAACAAGTAAAATGAAACGGCAATTTCTTGGCCATTTTCATATTGTAGTCATTGCTGTGCGTCTCTGTGAATCTGTATCTGTGTGTGTGTGTGTGTGTGTGTGTGTGTGTGTGTTCATTGTTCATTGTGCGCACGTACTTTATTCATCTTTTATCCTTCTTGTTATCTGTGCTGCTCAGCTCTGTTCTGCCTCTCAGCATATCTTGAATTAAATTAAATTCAAGTTATGGGGAATTAACAAAACTGCCGTTAAATACGAGTGGTTGGATCATTCAATCTACTCCAGACCTGACATGAAGCATTAATTACGCACTGCATGTCGATTCGAACAGGTTCCATGTTTAAATGAATAATCAGGAAGTTGTAAGCCTCCACTCGGGAGATGCTAGGCACATGATTGTGTTATGCTATTACTTGTTAAATATCTGTTGGCTATTGAATAGGCTTTTGCTACTCATATGCATATTTTAATTTTGTTAACAAATATTATTCAGAATGGCAAGCCAATTACTTTTCAGCACAGTTGAAAATCGATAGCAATGATTATCGATTTCAGCTTTCGTGTGAGGTAGAGTTTGCTCGCACGAACATGTCCTTAATATACATATATACTATATATTTCTACTCAATGGAGCTGGTAATACCTCCTTTTGTCTATTTAAGACATTTGCTCAAATCCATTATACCCCTTTTTAGCCACTTTCAATGGGTGAGCAAATGGATACCTCAATTTTCCAATATAAATCATGCCTCTTGCATGCGTGCTTCCTGCCTGTCTTGTCGTAGTCCCCGATTCCATTGGCCCGGCGCCTGCCGCTGGGAGCGCCCATTGTTGCTACACATGTAAATAAGGCAGAAGGCGAAACTTTATATGCATATCCTATATACCAAGTGGGTATATGGCATGCATGTGTGTGTGTGTATACGAATGTCGGTTATATTATGTATTTTTTGTCTTTTGGGAAACCTACGCACTGTTAACAAAATATTTCAACTTGACTGCCTTTTGCATGCAATGCGGCCTCCTCGGCTCGACTCGATTTGGCTCGAACGTATGGGCCATTGGATCCGTGCAGAGTGGCAGCGTGGCAGCGTGGTAGCGTGGCTGGAGGGTTTGTAGTGCACGGCTGAAGGCGGAAGGAAACAAGGCGTACGGCGCACAGAGCACAGTCGGTCACAGGAAATTATTTATATTATTTCTGTGTCGAGTTTTATTTTAATGTTTTTTATTCTGTTGTTGTTGCTGTAATTTTCGTTTGCCAAGATTTAATATGCATTTTAATCAAAATAAAAAATGCGTAACCAAAAAGTGGTAATATTAAAAAGTACATCGAGATGAAAACCCACTAACAATGCAACGAACCGAATACGAAAATATAAATAATAATTTCCGCAGTCCACCGCAGGACATAACATATCCTTCATTTCCACACAGTAACAAATAAAAACGAAAAAGGAAACGAAAAAAAAGGAAAACAAAACCCCTCGACAACAGCTGCGTAAAGTGCGTTCAATTATTTTTTTCGTTGTATTTCTCACTCTGTTTTCATCGTGGTTTCTTGCCACACTCTCTCTCTCTCTCTGTCACTCCCTCTCTGCACCCGCGTTTCCACGCAGATAAACTTTCATCAAGTTTTTAAGTCTATACTGAAACAGAACCCACACTTCTTAGCCCACAAACAATTTTAAGCGCAATGTTGTTGCAAAAAAAAAAAAAAAACAAAAACAAACAAACAAACGAAAGTCATCAGGGCAGCCATTTGAAGTCATGTCGTCGACCCTGAAAACAAAATCCACTAGCAGACAAACAATGTCTTCAGTTTTTACAATTGTTTCACGGACCTAACTTTGTTTTGCACAGAAAGAAATTCTCTTGTTGAATTTAGCAAAAACTGCAACCGCAAGTTTGAATCGATTGAATTGTAAGAGCCATTTTACAGCCATATTTGGGGCCTGGGTAAGCATTAGGGCAACGATACACCCGTATGATAAATGCCATCAAAATTTATTTGCTGTGGCCTTGACGAAATAGATATTCCTTTGGCATTTTCCCAGCTTATATCCCGATAAAGGTGACTTAAGGTGGCCCTAAATGACGTTTCATATGCACTTAATTGAGTATGTGTGCATAGTTAATCATATCATTCTCTTTTGACTTTACACTAGCCGTCTAGCATGTATCCCACATTATTAACGCTCGTGTGACTTTGACACCATCAAATTGGGTCGTCGCTTGTGGTCGAAAAGTTGGCTCACATTCGGCTACCCATTATGGCCATGCCTTGTTGGCTTGAAGAAATGAAATAGGTTTGTATTACCTCCATGAAGGCGCCCCACATAACACAATTTGTTCCGCAACATTGATTTAATCCTTTTCTTCTGCTTCACACAAAAACACACACACACACACACACATTCATACATACATATACGCCCACACATATAAAGCGCCCACATCCAGCAACGTTGTCGTTTGGCACAATTTCTTAAATTTTCCGTTGCCTTTGTTGCCGTTTTCCGGTATTTTACGTCCTTGAATTCGTTTTTTTTTTGTTGCGCTTCTCTTTTCCGCATTACCATAAATTCTTCTTGCTTCTGCTTCGCTTTGAATTCGGTCCCATTTGAGCTTTCAATACATTTATATTTGCATTTACTGATTTGAAAACGCCGAAGCGTACTTCCCACCGTCTTCCGTACGTCTACAATTCGTTGCTGCTACGTCCGTCCGGCAAGGTGAAGTCGCGGCTGGGTGACGAAAATTATATATTTCATGTTAGCTGGCAGTAAACAATGTGTGCGTAAGATTTCTGTGTTGACTTAAGAGCTCACTGATATTCCATTATTATTTTGTTTTTGTTTTTTTTCTGTACTAAATTATTTGTTGAGCGAAATTAAGAAAAAACCAAAGTAAATATCAAAATATACGGTTTACTTTACTTTATCTTGGAATACACAAATTACCATTCATATTCCTGAGTTTACGAAAGAAAAACAATAAATCTGATGACAATGACGAAACGTATTGCTTGTGGTGTCTACTTTTATTTAACATTCCCAAGCTTTAGGCACACAGTCTTCTGATAATGGCATGAGCATGATTTCAATTCAAGATTTTACGGCTCCTCTATCAGGTCGTTTACATCTTCCAGCTGAGGCGGCAAATGGCCCGCGGCCACAGCCAAATCTGCCACGCGACACGCATAGAGATATGCTTTCCTGAGATCTTTCGCCTGCAGCCAGCGCTGAAGCCAGGGTGCTTCGACACGCGGACATATAATATACGATTGCTCTATCTCGCTCTGCGTGGCATGCGGATTATTGACACCCACGATGGCCAGGCCGCGACTGGGATTTCGATTGTCGATGAGCAAGCGATAGTAGAGAAGCGGAACGGGGAGCACGCCACTGCCATTGCCACTTGCATTGTTGGCCAAATGGAAGGCAGTCTGCCTTGAAAAGGGCATGACTCCATGGGTGCCCGTATAGACGCTCACTGAGAGATCTAGGCGAGACACAAGCTCACGAATCTTGTCCTCTATGATTTGCCAGGGGCCACCATTGAATATCTGCCACTGCGGTGCCACATTCACGTAGTTAAAGGTCGTGCGCTGCTGGCTGGCATAAATGAAGTCTGCTTTGGCTGCCAGGTGGCCGCGCGTGAGGTACTGTCCCTTTTCCAGGAAACCGAGGCCGTTCTCAGTGGCATTGAGTCTTTGATACAGTTCCGCCACCCGTCTTCGCTGAGCCTTTTGTGAATAGAGTCTGTTCATATCGTAGCCGGAAAAGTGGCCAGCGGCACTGAACTTAATGCGTTTAACTCCTCGCTGAAAGAGCGCATTTGCTGGGATCAATTGATAGGATGCGTAGTGTGTTTGCAGCTGCCTTGCGTCGTGGCACAGCTCTATGGTACGCACAAATCGACCCTCGCTGATGTTGTAGCCCACGCGATACAGTCGAGCAGGCGACTGGTCATCTCCATCCCCGCACCGCTGGCTCAGTTGCTCCACAGAATAGGTAAGTGGTGTGGAGCAGGTAAAATCGCTCAACTCCCATTTCTGCCCGTTCCACTGGAATGCTTTATCATTCAGGCAGCGAACCCGTATGGATGAGCTATGCTCAATGCCATCGCCAATCGAAAATGAATGATCACAGTAGAGCTCGATGTTTGCGTTTGCTGGTATCTCCAACAATCCCTCCTTATCGGGCAGCCAGTAGGTGTCCGTGTCGGGGTACAGGTAAAGCGGCTGCTGCTTGGAGTGTGGCAAATCCATTTGAATGTCCAATATACATGCACCACCTATAATACATGCGAGTTACATGCAAATTAATATTACATTTCGTTCTCGATTGCACTTTTGAATATTGATTTTAGCAATACTGAAAAAGAGGGCATCATGCATTTACCTGCTTCAGCTGCCCCATTCACTCCCACAAGATCTTTGATTATTTGACCCACATCTTCGGCTGGCCTAATTGCTTCTCGCGCTCGAATCTCGTTCGTTGACGCGAATAGCAACAAAGCGATCCGAAATATATGCATGCTAGCCATGCTCAGCTCTCGAACTGTCTCGTGCGGCGTCTGTTTACGTATTCAATTAGTTGTGGTCTCTACAGGTGTTTTTATACACAGTTTTAATTTGCTCTCTCCCTCAATCACACTCACTCTCACTCTCTCTCTCTTTCTTTGATTCTTTCTTTGCATGCAACTCTCTCTAAACCGGTTATCGGCTAGCTTCTTATGATTCGTTATATTAAAGCTTTAATTGCTTTCATGTTGAATATTCTTTAGTGTTGTAATAGCTAAAGCTAACGTTTCACACGTGATATTTACGAAATGTTACCTCAATTATTATTGTTCCAAAGGCTACAATAAATAATTCAGTAAAATTTACTCAATATAGTAATAAAGTTCAAGCAATTAAAAACTGTGCAATGCAGTTCAAAGTTTGTATATATTTATTTTACAAATTGTATACGTGATCCAACATAAACTTCTTCACCATTCCGTTTCGTTTCTGCGGCGTTTTGGTCTGCTTGAGGTAGTATCCACAGAGGTACCATCTGAGCTTTGATTAAACGACACTTGAGTCATGTAGGCACCAGAGTTACTGTTGCTCCACTGTCCATTGCCCATTCCCCTGCCTCCGCCCATTCCTATACCAAAGTGCCCGTGAACCATTACAGGTCCACACATTCTACCATAGCCCATTCCACGCATGCCATTACCACCCATTCCATAGCCGCCCATTCCCCCACCCTGCTGGTTTTGTTGGCCAGCCTCTCGTCGATTGTTAAATCCATGTACATTCCTTTTATTGCGATTGGATGTACTTGTATTTTCAAGCGTTTCGTTTGTATTTACACCGTTTCCATTTATTCCAGTCATATTTATTCCATTACCATTATTACCATTAATTGATGGATATCCAGGTCCACACATGGTATAAACCCATGGATTCATTCCACCAGAGCCCATGCCTATTCCTCCATTCATATTGCCACCCCTTCCACCCATACCCATTCCCATACCCATTCCATAACCTCCCATTCCATTACCACCCATACCGTAACCGTTTCTACCCATTCCCATTCCACCCATACCATTTCCATTGCCTCCCATTCCATAACCACCCATACCATTGCCGTTCCTTCCCATACCCATTCCATTTCCACCCATTGCATTCCCTCCCATTCCATTTGCATTTCCATTGGCGCCCATGCCGTTACCACCTCTACCAGCCATACCGTATCCATTGCCATTTCCATTGGGTCCCATTCCGTATCCACCTCTACCACCCATTCCATTCCCATTGGTTCCCATTCCGTTGCCACCTCTACCGCCCATACCATATCCATTGCCACCCATTCCATTGCCCCCCATTCCATTGCCACCTCTACCACCCATACTATTGGGTCCCATTCCATTACCGTTTCTTCCCATGCCCATTCCATTGGCCCCCATTCCATTCCTTCCCATGCCCATTCCATTGCCACCCATTCCATTTGGATTTCCATTTCCTCCCATTCCGTAGCCACCTCTACCAGCCATGCCATATCCATTGCCATTTCCATTGGGTCCTACTCCATTTCTACCGCCCATGCCATTTCCATTGGCTCCCATTCCGTTACCACCTCTGCCATTTACACCCATTCCATTGCCACCCATCTGTCCAGCTTGTCGCTTAAGCCTTCCTAATGGAAATCCTGAAAGCAATTGGGAAAAGCATTGAAAATAAAATTTTATTCTGAGGATCACTTGATTTTTAATCTATTTATTTATCCATATGAGTTGTAATCGTAATTATTATTAACATAATTGTAATTATTATTGTTATTATTATAATTGTTGTTATTGTTGTTGTTGTTGTTATAATAGTCATAATTGGGAATTTGGGGGTTGTATTGGTTGTTGGGGTAAATGCCACTTGGCCCATAATACTGATTATAATTGTAGCCCGTGCCTGAAAAACTGCCCACACCAATAGGCAGGATGACAATTGGCAGCGGAGCTGGAGCTGGAGGTGGAGGTGGAGGAGGAAGCATTGGCACTGGCATTGGCATTGGCATGGGTCTGCGTTTTACCGGAGGATAGTACACACGACCGGGAATGGGTGCCGGACCGGGAAGGGGTCTTGCCATGGGCATGGGCACTGGCATTGGCATTGGCATTGGGACTGGCATAGGCATGGGCATGCGTCCAGGCATATAGACTTGTCTCGCGGTAACATTATGCAGTGGGTAAGACGATTCGAATTCCAAGTCAATGAAGTCTGGCGAATCTGGGGAGATGAATTGCCAAAAGAAAAAGAGAGAGAGACTGATCAGCAGAATAGGAGGAGGAGTGCGAACTGTTTGCCACTAAATGGATATGTAAAGCAAGTAGTTGCTCGTCGATGCGGTGGGTCTAGAGGATCGGGCAAGCGGATACCCGGCTGCCAGTCTGGGATAACAGTTGTAATAGCACGGCGGAGTTGGTGGCACTAGCTGCGGCCCGGAGGCGGGTCGCGCACTGCCGTAAGGCGGGACTGATCTCGAGACGGGCATGTTAGGTGGGGGCGCGTTGGTGCAAGCATATGGATAATATGGGCTAACAATGCACGGCTGTCGCCAGAGCTGTCTGTTGTAATTGAGATTGGGATTGGAATTTGGATTTGGCATGGGTGGCTGGGACCCATCCCGCACAATGACCAGAACATTTGCCTGTCGCTGATCGGCATGACTGGCGCCTGGCACGGGCCCAGTGACTCCATCAAGGAGCTCAAAGTCATTTGCCCTGTCTGGGTTCGATTCAGTGTACGGCTGGTGATTCAAGTGGAGCGTGCTGGTGCTGGGACCGGAGATGGGTGCGCTGATGCTGCGAGTGTTAGCTGTGGTGGATGTGGTGTCGATCATGAACCGATTCAAATGCTGATCTGAAACGGATCAGGAAAAGGTTTTGCAATGAGTGCGTGCCGCTAGACGGTGAATGGGTTCAGTGGGCTTTACACACCTGGGCTACTTGTACGCTCGACACATTTCGGATATTGGCCGCAGTGCTCGCCATCCAGTTGATCCTTTTCGCATGCCACGCTGGATAATATGCATCTCTCAGTGGCCACACAACTGATGTCGCGACAATCGCGTCCAAACTCTGACAAAGTCAATGAAGTTGTTAAATCATTGCGACCCCAATGCTGCAAATTGCCGTCACTTACTTTTGTAGGCATTGACATGGGCTGCTACGGCCACAATTATGGCCAATACACAACAGGCTATGTAGCCGACTTGCCACTTTACAGACATGGCCCAGTTGCTTCAAGTACTTTTGCTTTGATAACTGAACTCTGCTCTCAATGTGAGCTTCGTTTTATATGATTTGCAAGGTATGCCTGAATGATTTCTAGCATTTAGTGTGCAAATGATTTAAGCGAAGCTTGCCTAATTTAATTAGCATTTACAGATTAAATGTGGCAACCCTGATAGTTACGGGTGATTTAACAGAGTATTCCAGCTAAATTTTAAACTTATTTTGAGCATGAAAAAGTCAAATGTTTAGTTGATTTACAGACAGAAATAAAACATTCAAAGTCATTGACTTTTGATATTAATGAATGCGTTTAGAGATTAGATTATCAGCGCAAAAAATGAAAAAAATGCTTTGTTTATGTTACAAGTGCTGATATGCCTTGTCAATCTGAAAGATAATATGTAGAGCTTTGGCATTGCGAAACGTGTGACACGTGAGCATTTGCGGGATGATAGTTCGAAAAACTGCTTATCGTCAGTTATTAATTTTTATAATAATTTATTGTATGCTTAGTTAGTTTGATTAGACTATTAGATAGTATAGAGTGTGGTGATTAGCGTTACGCCGAAACACCTAGAACGCCATTCGTTTGCAGATCGTCCAATGGCAAGTCTTGAACAGTTTCTATAAAGTCTTCCACAGTGCAGGCATACGAGTAGCCCTTCTGTAAGTCCTTCCTTGTCCAACTTATCCAGTTGATTTGATCGCCGATATCAGGACAGATAATATAGTCCTCCTCAATCTCTTCCATGCCAATGTGTGGATTGTTAACGCCCAGCAGCACAATGCCCCTGCGGCTATCCCGATCGATAATCACGCGGAAGTAGAGCTTGGGCACTGGTATCAGCCCATTGCTGTTCTCATCGAAGTCTAGGTAGAGCTCTTGGGGCACGCCTTCTGCATCTGGCAGCGTGGACACACCCCACGTGCCAGTGTAGCAATCGACGGTTATATTTTCAGCAGCCACAAATTTTCGCACGCTATCCTCAATGCGCTCCCAGTTGCCCGCATTGAAGGTCTGCCACTGGGGTGCGGCATTCACAAAGAAGAAGCTCGCCTGCTGCGCGGCGCCAAATATGAAGTCGGTCTTGGCGGATAGATGACCCCTGGCCAGATACACGTTGCTGCCGATATCGAAGTATTGTGAGGCATCCATGCCCAGAATTCCGCTGATTGTGATGTTCTGTTGCACCTGCGTATACTTCTGATTGACGTCCTTGCCGCCATAGAAGTCGCCCGTGATGAAGCTAGGCCGGCTCACTGAGCGCTGATACTGGGCGCTGCTGGGCGTCAGCACATGATGCACATAGCGTGTTACCTCCGCCAGCTCATCGTGGCACACATCGTAGGTTTGCAGGAAGTCATCGTGGCTGTCATCGTTGGCGAGCTGAAAGCCAACTTCCAGAAGATTGGTTCCTCCATTGCACTCACGGTTCGTGCGTCGAGCCGTGTAGGCGGGCCACGAGGTGCACACAAAGTCGCTGATGTGGTGGACTTTGCCCAGCACCAAGAAATTTTCTTCTTGCCAGCAACTGGCATTTAGTTGAGAGTATCCGGCGAAGTGTCCTTGAAATGACTTTGGGCCGCTGCAGTGCAGCTCTATTGCCTGGCCACGCTGCAGTTCCACCGCACCTTGTGGATCGGGCTCCAAGTATTGTGCCGAGCCGCGTTCGTCGCGTAGCACAAACAGCGGAGCTGGGTCTTTGAGATCGCCATTCACGCGGAAGCTGCACAGCTGTTGTGATTGCTCGTCCGGCAGCCCAAGCAGCCCAGTCGTATCCAGTTGATCGAGTGGCAGATCTTTGACCACTTCAGTGAAATCTTCCACAGAGCACGCGTAGGCATAGCCCTTCTCAATGTTGGCCTTTTCCCAGTCCAGCCAATCCAGCTGCGCACCCACATCCTCACAGACGACATAATCCCGCAAGATTTCGTCAAGGCTGGCATGTGGATCGTTTGCCACCACTAGGGCAATGCCCCTGCGGCTCTCCTGGTCAATGACAATGCGATACACCAGTCGAGGCACCGGCAGCTGCTGCGTGTCGGCATTTAAATAGATCGGCGTTTGTTTGCCCTCGGCATTCGGCAGTGTGGCTACGCCCCAGCTGCCTGCATGCACGCTCACGTTGATCGCCTCGTTGGCCACGAATTGGCGCAGACTGCGCTCCACGGCCAGCCAGTTGCCTATGGTGATGCTGCGCCACTGGGGCACCACATTCACATAAAAGTGCGTCGCACGCTGCGCCGAGCCATGCACAAAGTCTTGACGCGCAGCGAGATGACCCCGCGCGAGGTACAGGTCGCGGCTGCTGTCCAGGTACTGGCTGGCATTCAAGCCAAGAGTTTCACCAAGCATCTCGTGCTGATGCGACAGGCTGTAGAGCACGTTCACGTCCTTGCCCGCATAGAAGCCGGCCCGCAGATACCCGGGCTGTGCCACGTTCTGCTGATAGGCAACATTGGCCGGCGTCAGCTCGTAGCGAGCGTAGCGTGTGATCTGTGCACTCTCGTCGTAGCACAGTTCCAGCTGCGGCAACATCCCGGCAGCCACGTTAAAGCCAATCTGCAGTAGCTCAGTGCCGCCCTCACACGAGACTCCAGTGCGAACGGCCTCGTAGCTGGGCCACGTTTGACAGCTGAATTCCCCTATCGCTACCCTCTGGCCCTCCGCCTCATACATCTGGTCGCCCACACAGCGGGCCGTCAGCGCGGTATATCGATTGAATGGAATGGCCAGTGCAGCGGTGCAGTGCAAATCAATGCTCGATCCATCATCCACCGTGTAAATACCCGATTCATCCGGCAAAAGCCAGCTCAGTGCACCCTCCGGCGTGAGCAGTGGGGCAGGATCTGTGAGATCTCCGTTGGTGCTGAAGTAGCATTGATCGGGCTGCGGTGTGGCAGTTGGACTGGGTGTTGTTGCTGTTGAACTGGATGCTGTGCTGGAGGACCCGGTAGTGCTCTCAGATGTTGTTGTAGGTGGCAGCTCAGTGGTGCTGGTAGTGGAAATCGTGCTAGGAATATCAGTAGTGCTCTCAGAAGTAGTCGACGGTAGTTCAGTGGTGCTGGTAGTAGAAATCGTGCTAGGAATATCACTAGTGCTCTCAGAAGTAGTCGACGGGAGTTCAGTGGTGCTGGTAGTAGAAATCGTGCTAGGAATATCACTAGTACTCTCAG